CGCAGAGGTTCCGAAGGAGTACTGCCATCTTCCCGATGGTTCGGATTGGGTTTGCAAGCTCAATAAGACCGTCTACGGACTTAACGAGGCGATGATCGATTTCGACGACCACTTTGAGAGCATTGCTACAGGACGGAATGATGAATCTAAGATGACGTTCAAGAGGTTTCTTTCTGACCCGTGTACGTTCGCGGACAAGGCTAATCAAGTTGCTATGTCCAAGCACGTTGACGATGGCACGCTGGTGGGACCCAGAGTTTCAGCCAGCAAAGTGTTGGAGGAGCTCGGCACACATTTTCTACTCAAGGTTTCTGTGCTCACAGTTGGTGGTCCTGAGATCAAGCACCTTGGACGTGGCTGGCTCCGCACCCCCGAAGGTATTCAAGTTCGCATGTGGCCTGCTATTGTCAAGAAGCTACTCGACTCTGAGCCCAATGATAAGAAGACGAGCCCAATACCAGGAGTCAAGAACGAGAAGAAGGTCGAGAGCGAGGAGGAGTTGGATTCCAAAGCGGCCACAAAGTTCAGGAGCGTCAACGGCCTCAACATGTTCGTGTGTTTGGAAAGGCCCGAGTGTCAGTACGCAGCGAAGGAGTGTTCGAGGGGGATGTCACGACCGACGGTGCAGGACCAGACGAGGCTCACGCGCATCATCAGGTTCATTCGAGCTCACCCATCTTCAGTCACGTGCATGTATCCATACAGCGGCGAGTTCAAGGTTATCGGACGTGCAGACTCTAATTGGGCAGAGGATCCTATCGGGAGGAAGTCTACAAGTTGTGGTCAGTTGTTTCTCAATGGAGCTTTGATCATGCAGTTCGTCAAGACTCAGGGGGCACCAGCACTCTCGTCGCCCGAAGCTGAGTTCAACGCACTCGTGCATGTCGGGATTGAGGCGAGAGGAGCACAGACTTATCTCAAGGAGCTCTTGGACGAAACTGTACCAGTGACGCTGGAGAGTGACAACTCCAGCGCTCTCACGAACGTCGAGAAGAAGGGAGTTGGCAGGATGAGGCACATCGAGTTGAAGGATCTGTGGATCAAAGACCTAGTCGCACGCAAGGCTGAGACGAAGGTCAGCACGAGCAAAGTTCACACCAACGAGAACACCGCAGATCTTGGGACGAAACATCTTTCGAGGGTAGATTTCATGAAGCACCTAACGGCGATGAAGGTATGGCTCACTGGGAAAGGTGAGGTTGGTGAAGTTTCGGGTTCAAGCAACGAGAAGAAGGGCCAGATCGGTAAGCCGGCGCTGGAGCTGATGGGAGCACTTACTCAATGCTTGGTGGGTCTTGGTACGTTTCTTCAACTTGGACGTGCGGACGCTACTGAGTTGGTGGAGAGGGAGTTTCAGCCAGTCGCGATCTCAAGCCCTGCAGATGATGAGAGCCATTTTGGCGTTTCCACGACGGTCGTGATGATGATGCTCACCCTTTTGAGTGTTGTCGCAACGAGTGCAGTCTTCAAAGTCAAGCAGCACATCGACCGTATCACGCAGCCAGCACAGAAAGATGCCTCAACTCAGTACAGCCTGAGCCTGAAGGACACGATGAAGAATGGAGCTACGAGCAAGATCGTGGTCAATGATCTTCGGGCTATGTTCACAGCTATGACTATAGACAGTGGACGGGAGTTTCTACGACTACGGCGGGTGGATCGGGCCGTCTCGACATATACAAAGGCGATGGTGGTCGAAGCTTGTGTGGCGACCGCCCTCAACGACATAAGGCAGGACAAGATCTACAGTGTTGATGGGTTTGTCGGGATTTGGCACCCTCACTCGCTGGCTATGATTCGATATTGATATGTTTCCAGAATGCGTGCCCGATCTTGGCATGAAGCTGCAGATGGGCCCGAGGAGGAGTGCAGGAAACAAGGTATATATCAGTGATTTGAGTGAGGATTGTTGTGCATGCGCTGTTGTGACATTTGCGTACTGTGGAGAGCCAGTTTTGGCTCAGTTCATGCTGAGGTGGAAAAGGATTTCACCAGCCCTGTCGGGCAAGGTCCGTGGACCCCAGCTCCGCTACTTAAGTTATCAAGATAACATTTCAGTACTTGCATTTATATAAATATAAAAAAGAGATTTGTATACATATATAAACATATATATATATATAGATTGAGCATGTTCGGGGTATTTTTTTCGTCCCAAATCCGCCTGCGGTGTCGGGCAGCGCCTCGGCCCTGGTGGACCCTGCGTTTGCCCCGGCGGGCCCAGGCTCGGGCCCGAGGTCGGGCGAGTGGGAACCCCTACGCTGCCCGGAACTCCTGCTCCTCTGCTCGGCAGGTCCGCCTCGACGCAGAGGTCCCTTCTCGTCCGACTCGTCAGCTCGACACCCCGACGTCCTCCTCCTCCTCCTCCTCCTCCTCCTCCTCCTCCTCCTCCTCCTCCTCCTCCTCCTCCTCCTCCTCCTCCTCCTCCTCCTCCTCCTCCTCCTCCTCCCAATCACCCTCATCGCCAGCCTCGGCGACGTGACCTCCCGGCCACTGGTTTCCGCAAGGCCTCGAGGCCGCCGTGCCTTGGGACTTGCACCCGGAGCTGTCGTTCGAGGAGGAAGCGTCGCCATAAGCAGAAGCGTTCGACGCTCCGCGCGGATCTCTGGGGTCCGCGCTGGGCCCCCGAAGTCCGCGCGGGGCGCCACAAGTTTGTGCTCACGCGGTTCGTTCTTCTTCTGATCGTGGAAGCTGGTGACGCGGAACGTGGTGCTGTCAGTGGCGTTTGCTGTGCCGTGGGTGTCACCGAGGTCTCGCCTGGATTTGCCCTGGGCTCCACCCTGGTTGGTGTACCCGTAGGGTTTGGCGGTGGCTGCAGCGGATGAGTCCAGGGTCCTCTGGTGTCGGCTACCCCCTTTTCCGAGGCAACCGCCAGGATTCTCGGTCTGGGTTTTGGCCCTGGTGGGGCGGTAGTTGATGCGACTGGTGTGTGGCATCCCATGATCGGCCTTGCGAGACGGCGGCGCGATCGGGACGACCCAGTTGGTGCATCACGGCTGAGAGGGGCGGTGTTGTTGTTTCGGTGGGCGTCGGCCGCGGCCGTGGACCTTGCTGAGTCACGGTGAGTCACGGCTGGTGCCCGTCTTGTGTTTCATGGAATGATGTAGTTCGGTGTAGCTGCCCGTTTTCCTCCCGCATAGTTCTCATCAGTTCGCCCCTAAGCTTATTTTGGTCGGTGCGGCGCTGGTAGTACATGTTGTCAAGATCGGCTTGGTGTTTATGGGCAGGTTCGCTGCAAACGGCGGCTGCTCGGTCGACGCCACTATTGCTCTGGAATGCGGCGACGCAGGCTTCATTTCGGCTGATGTTGGTATCCTGCCGTTCCGTTAAGGTTGCCGTTGGGCGGTCTTCGTTTGGTGCCTTGGGTTACGGTGGTAGATGGAGCGCACGGCGACAGCGCGCGCGGGGATATGCAAGAGGATGTGGCACGAGCCAGTCCTGTAACGAGGGCCACATGTCCAGTCTGGCCATGCTATCTTTCAGTCGGGCCTGTCCATCTGCATGGGGAATTATTCAAAAGCAGTAGGAGCAAATCGGGCGTGTCCCTCTACAGGAAGGATAGTCAAAACTAGTAGACAAACATAGTCTGGGGACGACTCCTTAGTAGTTTTGAACATGTTTGGTGTATGTGCGGGCCATGCTTATTTTTTTGTCCAACATCTGCATGTAGGGAAACATGCCCGACCTAACATTGTCTGTGGGCCGCTGGGGGCTTCGTGTCTTAGCCGTTCCCCCCATGGGCCCAGAGACCCTGGAGGCGGGGAGGACGGAGAGAGGCGAGGGGGGGGGGGTACGAGGGAGGGAGGGAGGGGTCAGAGGAAAAGGGCAGGAGAGCGGCGAGTAGGAAGGAGGGGGGTAAGGAGGAGGAGGAGGAGGAGGAGGAGGAGGAGGAGGAGGAGGAGGAGGAGGGAGGAGGAGGAGGAATGATGGGGGATAAGGAGGAGGCGGAGGAGGAATGAGGGGGAGGAGGAGGAGGAGGAGGAGGAGGAGGAGGAGGAGGAGGAGGAGGAGGAGGGCACGTGATTGGACAGTGTGAAAGGAGACATGGAAATATTAGTAAGGTAACGCATTCAGCAAGGAGAAGGAGGAGAAGGAGGATGAGGACACGTGATGGGAACGTGTGAAAAGGGGACAGGGACATGTTAGTCAGGGAACGTATGAGGCGGGGCAGGGGTATATGCGCCAGGGGACAAGGGCGGAAGATGAGACGCTTGGGGACGGGGTGGATGGGAGGAGGAGAGGCATGCTTAGGAGGAAGTGGAGGAGTAGCATCAGGAGGACGATACACACGGAGGAGGGAGGAGGGAGAAGAGATACGGCGGATGAGCTGGAGCGTGGATGGAGAGGAAAAGTCTGGGGAGGACAGGGGCCAGGGGCGAGGGGTATGAGGAGGGGGATGAGGAGGGGAGCAGCGAGAGGGTGGAAGCTGACGATGAGGAGGACAACGGGAGTGGAACATGAGGAGGCGGGCGGGAATGAGGAGGAAGAAGGGTTGGGGGTTGATGGAGACAACGCCACCCCGTGACTAGCAGCCGCGCGCCCCGTGTTTTCTGGAGGAGGGCGATGGAGAGGCCGAGGAGGATGAGGAGGACGAACGTGGCGCGGAGGAAGAGGAAGCGCACGCAGAGTGGGCGGGGAAGACGAGGAGGACAGGAGGGCATGGAGGACAGGGAGGAGGGACGGATGACGATGAGGACAGGGGTGGGCAGGAGAGAGAGGTGGAGGACGATGAGGAGGAGGAGGAGGAGGAGGAGGAGGATCAGGAGGAGCAGGAGGAGCAGAACGAGGAGGAGGAGGAGGAGGAGAAGGAGGAGAAGGAGAAAGAGAAGCATGGGAACGGAGGGATTGGAGGACGAGGAGGTGGAGGAGATGAAGAAGGAAGAGGAGGATACGGAGCAGGACATGACGGGCGAGGAGGAGGACGAGGAGGAGGAGGAGGCAGGAAGGAGGAGCAACGGCAGCAGCGGCAGGGGTGCGGCAGCAGGGCCCATTCCCGAGAGGACACGCCAGGGCTTCCTGTCGCACTTCGCAGTCACCTTGCGTCGCCGATTTGCCGATGGCAGCCTGCATGTCGCCTGCGACTTTGCCACCGAGGGCACGGGCAGGCGAACGTTCCTCTGCTATTCCTCTTGCCTCCTCCTTCTTTCCCCACCTCCATCATCCTTCTCACTCCTCCTCCTCCTCCTCCTCCTCCTCCTCCTCCTCTCAGTATCTCCTCCCCTCTCCTTCCCGCTCTCCATCTATCATCCCTCCTTCATCCTCCCTTGCCCTTTCTCCTTGTTCACTCCCTGTCTTACTCCCACTTCGTGTTCCCCCGTTGCCGTGGTGGTCATGGTCATGGTCGTGGTCGTGGGCATGGTTGTCGTGGTAACGGTTGTCGTGGTCGTCGTGGTCGTCGTCGTGTTCGGGGTCGCGATGGCCGTCGTCCTTCCCCCTCATCCTCCTCCCTAGAATCCCCCCGGAGCAAGGAGGCCCGTCCCCGTCCCGCATTCTTCCTCGCTCGCTCTCCTTGCGCCCAGCCTGCTCCCGTCTCGTTCGTCATGCCACCGTCGAGTGTTTAGCCTCCCTCCACCCTCCCTCACTCTCACCCTCCTCTGTCTCCTCATCGTCCTCTTCCTCCATTCCTCCTCCTCAGTCCCTGCCTCCCTCCTCCTCGCTCCCTCCCTCCCTCTCTTCCTCCTCTTCCTCCTCCCCCTCCTCCTCCTCCTCCTCCTCCCTCCCTCTCTCCCTTCCTCACTCTCGCCCTCCCTCCCCCTCCCTTCCTCCCTCCCTCCCTCCTCCTCCTCCTCCTCAATTCTGCTTCTCGTTATTATTATTATTTTTCTTCTTCTCATTGTTATCATTATTGTTATTGGTATTACTAGTATCATTATCCTTATGCTTCTTATGAGTATTGTTCTTCTTATTATTATTTCTCCTCCTCCTCCTCCTTCTCCTCCTCCTCCTCCTCCCCCTGACCGAGGCGGCGGCGCCTGTTCGACATGCCCCTGGACGCGGCGGACGCCTGGTGGTCCGAGCTGCTGGACGAGAGGGGCGGCCCGGGCTGGCTGGAGGGTGAGGACAGCTGCCCCGGAGGTCGCCAGTCGAAGGGGATCTCCTCCTCCTCCTCCTCCTCCTCCTCCTCCCTCCTCCCTCCTCCTCCTCCTCCTCCTCCTCCTCCTCCTCCTCCTCCTCCTCCCTTTTCCGTCTCCTTCTTCTTCTTATTATTATTATGATGATTATTATTATGATTATTATTATCATTATTATTATTATTTTTATTAGTAGTATTAGTATTATTATTATTGTTATTATTATTATTATTATTATCATTATTATCATTATTACTATTAATACTAATATTATTATTCGTCTTATGCTTCTTCTTCTGATTATTATTTCTCCTCCTCCTCCTCCTCCCCTGGCTCCTCCTACTCCCCTGCCTCCTCCTTCTCCCCTGCCTCCTCCTCCTCCTCCTCGAGGCGGGGTGATCGGGCTCTGGGGTGGGGAGGTGGGGAGGGTGGGATGGGGGGGGGGGCGCAGGGGCTGGGGGCCTGGGGGGGGAGGAGATCGAGCGGGACATGAGGAGGAGAAGGATGAGGAGGAGGAGGAGGACCAGTGTAAACCCGAGACACATCCACGATGTTGAAATGCACCCTTCCTCCGAGATCCCTCTTCATGTTCCCCTACAAGGGGTCATCTCCACTAGGGGAATTGCCCCGGTGGAGGACAATCGTGTGAATGCCTCGAAGCGTGCCAACAGTACCATTCCCAGGACTTCTACGCCACGAGTTGACCTGACTACCACGTCCTGGCGATCCTTAATCGTGCCAGGACACTTTTGTCTGGGACCTCAACACCGCGAATCGACGTAACTGTTGCGCCCTGACAATCTTGAATATCACCAGAAGACTGTTCCTGGTACGTTCCCAATGGGAATCAGCGAAAACACTTGCAACTGTTAAAAACAAATGTGCGTGGCGCTCAGGCGAGAGTCACATTTTGAACACGACCCGCCCTCAATCCGTGGAGCTCTTGCAACACTTTCGAAGCGACTGTGCGCGGCGCTCAGGCGAGAGCCATAGTTGAAAACCCATCGCCCTCAGTCCTTATATCTTGCAACTGGTCGAACCGAGTATGCGCGACGCTCAGGCAAGAGCCACATGTTGAAAAATACCCGCCCTCAATCCGTGGCGCTCTGGCAATTTTTCAACAAATTTGCAAAACGAATGTGTGTGGCGCTCAGGGGAGATCTACATGTTGAAAACCACCCGCCCTGAATCCGTGGAGCTTTTGCAAATTTTCGAAGTGAATGTTCGTGGCGCTCAGGCGAGAGCCGCATTTTGAAAGGCACCCGCCCTCAATCCGTGGCGCTCTTGCAAATCTTCGAAGCGAATGTGCGCGTCGCTCATGCGAGAGCCACACATTGAAAATCACCCGCGCTCAACCCGTGGCGATCTTGCAATGTTCAAAACAAATGTGCGCGGCGCTCAGGCGAGAGCCACATGTTGAAAACCACCCGCCATCCATGTGTGAAACCTTTGCCGGATTCTCAGCTCCAGGATCATAAATGGTGGGGAAGTCTCAGACGAAACACCCAGGCCGCCCTTTCGACCAGTCTCGGGTGCGACAGGGAGGAGTGATCTATACGGAAAAGGAATGGGGGAGGAGGAGGAGGAGGAGGAGGAGGAGGAGGAGGAGGAGGAGGGGGAGAAGGAGGAGGACGAGGAAGACGCCTCCTTTGTTTTTTCATACACACTCCTCCTCGTCCCCACCCCTTCCCTCCCCCATCTTCGTCCTCATCCTCACCCTCCTAGCTCCTCCTCATCGTTCTACTCCTCTTCGTCCCGTCCCTACCCCTTCCCCCCCTGTGGACTCCGAGGTGACCGCGCGGCGTCGCCCGAGGACTGAGGTTACTCGCGCCCCGGTAGTCCGCTCGCGCGCAAGAGCGCGCGTACGGCGGCGAGGGGGAGAAACAGCGAGCACGACGAGGACGAGGAGGACGAGGAAGAGAACGATGATGATGATGAGGAGGAGGAGGAGGAGCAGGAGGAGGAGGAGGAGGAGGAGGACAAAGAGAGGCGTGGGGACGAGAAGGAGGGGAAGGGGAGAAGCAGCGGGAGGGGGATGGGGGGCTGAGGATGGATGAGGCAGGAGGGACGGGAGAGGAGAAGTGCGGGAGAAGGAGGAGGATGGGGCAACAGGAGGAGGAGGAGGAGGAGGAGGAGGAGGAGGAGGAGGAGGAGGAGGAGGATGAGGAGGACGTGGAGGAGAGGAGGAGGAGGAGGAGGAGGAGGAGGAGCGGCGGGAGAAGCAGAGTGGTGAGGGGAATTGGAGCATGTAGTTGTGAGCGCTGGCAAAGAGGGACGGGGAAGTGGGGGGAGGGGTTTGTCGAAGCAGGGACACTGGCGTAAACATAATTTTTCGAGCATGCGTGCGGATATCTTGGGTATGCGCTGGGACCCCCTGGCGGCGCCTCCGCCACCGCCCCTTGCGCGTGGGAAGGGACGGAAGACGGAAGAGACCAAGGAAGAGGTGGAGGAGGAGGAGGAGGAGGAGGAGGAGGAGAAAAAAACATAGGGACGTGGGGACGAGAAGGAGGGGAAGGGAGGAAGGAGCGGGGGAGAGTAAGAGGAGGAGGAGGGAGGAGGAGGAGGAGGAGGAGGAGGAGAAGGAGGAGAAGGAGGAGAAGGAGGAGGAGGAGGAGGTGGTTTATCTCCACCTACACTGGGTTCTGACGGGGTGGCCAGACAACTGCGAACAGCCCTACGCTTGCAGTGCTCGGGGGCTTTTGCGAGCTCCGTAAACCTGCTCCGAAATGGACCAATGGGCGGCTATACGGTCCTCATTGCCACATTTCGGGTGCTTGAGTTGCAAAACGCCGCGCATCTTGTGCTGCGCCGCTGCATTACGACGCCAGCCCACGACGCCAGAGCGAGGACAAGCTTTGGCGAGCCCCAGGGGCTTCGTGGTCGCATATTGGCAGCACCGCTTGCAAAACAAGAGCGTGCCTTCGACCTCGGCCTCTGGGCGCGGGGTCAGTTCACACCTCTCGATTTCGTGCGTGTGGGCAAATTGGGCCACGCGCTGGAAACTCTGGGGCGCCGCTTCTGGTCGGCAGTCCTTCCGATCGAGAGCACTGGATGAGGCCACCTTCGACTTCAAACATCGCTTGCACTGCCACTGGGACGGGCCGACCCGAAGAAATCCGTGCGCAATCTTGCAGGCTGGGACCTTGCGAGTGGCGGCCCGCTGCAGGGATTTCCGTTCATCTCGAGGGGTTAGCCCAGACTCGAGCACGCGGGAAGCAGCATGCAGGAACTTCTTTGCACGGGCCAACCGGTCTTCTAGGAAGACAAGGGTGGGGCCGTGCACATCATGCAGCTTACAAGCAGCCTTCGCCGCTTGGTCGGCCTGGTTGGTTAACACCAGGCTCTCCACTCGGCCGGGGTCTCGGGGCTCTGTGGATCCTCGACGTGGTCCTCCTACCTGAGGAGGTTCCGAAACGCCCCATCTTGCCGAGCAACGCTCCTCCAAGCAGTGGGCAGCTCAGGCCTTGGAGGTTCGGTATATATCTTGCGTAGCCCTCACGACCCTGTGCCTGCAGTGAAGATTCGCATCTCCTCGGACGCCGACATTCTTTGTGAGATAGATCGTGATGTGTTTGTTGAGTTCGGGATTACTGAACTGATCGACACAGTGCAGTCGGAGGCTGCGGTCAGACTTCGCAGCCCTCCCTTTTCGCGCTGAGGCCGACTGCGCCTACAGACAGGTGCCTTGCTCTCCGTCTTCCTCTCCTCTCTTTCTGCCCCCCGATCCGCTATCCATGTGTACGTGGAACACGGAGGCGCTCTTCGCATCCGTCCGTTCTTCATCGTGGAAAGCCTCGGCACGATTCGAACAGTTCTTAAAGTTGTGCAACAGCTATCACATAGTAACAGTACAAGAAACGCACGGACATCGAGGGGACCTTGCCGAGCTTTCCAGAGAGCTTGAACAACATCGGTGTGCCGCATCCTTTTTCCCAGATTCAACTGCCGAAGGTGGTGTGCTTACGGTCTTCTCTTCCTCCTTTGTTGCTTGGTTCACGCCCATTGCTCATACGTCTGTGATCGTGGGGAGGATCCTGATCCTGAAAAGCGTATGTGTGGGGCCTCTCGGGAACCTGGTGATCTACAACCTTCATCTCCCAACACCTCTGACTCTTTCTCCGTCTTCTCTAATGTCTTACAGTGTCTGCATAATGATGTGCGTCAGTATTTGCCTGGCGGTGCGAGTGTACCTGCCCATGTTGTGATGATGGGGGATTGGAACTTTGTGGTTGAAGGGGAAGGGAGAATGGCTGGAGATGGCAGTGGATGGTCGGCAGCACATGTCCGTCACTCTAAAATGTTATTTAAGCTCTTTGCCTGCATCACCGAGCTTTTTCAGGATCCGGATACGAGGAGGGGAAGGCTTGGTATGGCTGTGTCTCAGACTGCTCGTCTTGACCGTCTTTACTCTTCGCTGCCGCCGGCTGTGTTGCGCGATCTCACGGTGACGGTCAGCACGGTTGGAGCTTTGCGATCTCATACGCCTAGTGATCACATACCCGTGAAGGCCCTGCTGGAGAGATATCGTCTTGACTCCAGTCAACCCAGAATCCCTCCGTGGATTGCTGGGTTGCCTGAATTCAGTGAGGCCCTGCAGGAACTCATCTCGGAGATCCCTGAGTCTTGGGAGGTGTGGAGGAGGTTGGAGATCACGAAAGAACTGGTCTTTACCGCAGGCCGTCGCGCTCATGCTGCTATTTTCTCTCGCCCCGCCCGAACGCTGCAGGAGCAGCAGCACTTTTGGGCACTGACGGCACTGAGAGCGTGGACCTCTGGTGATAAGAGAAAGTTGCGCTCGGCTCTCGTGTGTTACGTTCGATTGCAAGTTCACTTTGACTCCGACCTCCAATGTATTCACATCCGCGGTCTTACCCAACATATCTTCTCCCTATACACCCGTATACCTCAGGATGAGGAGCAGGAGATCTCGAAATCGAACGCCGAGCCCGAGGCTAAACGAGCCCAGGCTGCTAGACTTCGTCGTCGTACCTTGATTTGGAGAAAGTTTCGTCGCCGTACTGTCTTGGGATCGGTTACTGATGAGAATGTTGTTCCGTGTTCCTCTTTGGAGTCTTCCGCGGTGGCGTTTGGTGATTTCTGGTCTGGAATATTTCGGGAACCTGCGGTGGATTCTGCTCTTTGGGATGCTGTTCGCCAGTTCATTTCGCAGATCGACTCTCCTCTGGATACTCAGTGGCAACTCGAGTACCCAGTTTGGTTTCAGATGATCCGCAAGCGCCCGCATAGCATGCCAGGTCCTGATGGCATTCCGTACGCTGTTTGGAAGTGCCCTGACGCGTCGAGGATTTTGTACTCTTGCCACCTCCCCCTCTTCACGAACGACATCCACTCCCTCCCAGATGATATGAAGTTGAGCCTGCTTGTTTTTCTTCCGAAGGGCTCGGACCCTCAGGATCGCCCTGGATGCGCTCTCTCGAGGACGCCCGTGGCGACACGCCCTCTGAGTATGAGCAATACTAATGTGAAGATCTTGGCGGCTGCGCTTATTCGCCCCATAATCTCGGCTTCGGAGGATGTGATTGGGAGGGAGCAGAAATGTTTTGGGGGAGGGATATGGTTGAGAATGTGGTCCGTGCTGAAGCGTGGGGTCTCTGCAGACACCTACGCGATGATCCGCGCGCTGCACTGCTGCTTACTGTTTTTGCTTCTGCCTTCCCTAGCCTCGCGCAGAGTTGGTTATTCTTTGTCTTAGAGAAGATGCACGTCCCCTCGGTTGTTACGAAGTTTTTCCGTATGATGTACACCTCGAATCGTGCCATCGTCACTCTTGCAGGTCGTCGATCCCAAATGATTGCTATCGAGTCAGGTGTGAAAGAGGGCTGCCCTGCATCGATGGTCTTGCTCGTGCTTGCGGTAGAGCCGCTTCTGAAGTGGCTTAGACACCGGTGCGAGGTGAACGTCAACCTCACTCTTGCGTATGCAGATGACTTCCTCTTTGGTCTGATGAATGTCCTTGTCGATTTAGATCCGCTCCTCTCTGCCTTAATGCAGTTGCAGCGCATCGCCAATTTGAAGCTTAACTTCAAGAAATGTCAGATTGTGCTTTGTGGAAGCACAAGCAGGGAGCTGCTTTGTTCCGTGCTGGCGAGTTTTGGCGCCCCGTTGTCGCAGCTTCAAGTTGTGCGTTGGGCCCTGTACCTGGGATTTCCGATTGGCCCTGAGGCGGCCAAGCACGTCTGGTCTGACATTATTCTTGGTTTCCTGGAGAGAGTTCACCAAACTCGCCATCTCGGACTAGGTTTGGCGCAGAGTGCGACGGCGTTCCGTGTGATGTGTGTCTCGAATCTGTTGTATAGACTGCAGTTGTACCCGCCCTCTGAGTTTCTCATTCACAAGTTCCGTGAGGCTGTGATGCGCCTGACTGCAGGCCCAAGGAATGCCATTTCATATAACATCGCCGTCAAGCTTAAGTCGATTGGGTTTCGATCGGAGTTTGTGGGGATCTTGGCCGTGTCTAGAGCTGCCCACATTCGTTACTTCCTTCGATATCGTTGTCTTTATGGCGTCTTGGAAGACTTGGAGACTACTCGGGAGGACCTTGAGCATATTCCGCATCGTTGGCACGTGGGGTGGAATCAGGATTCTTTCTTGTGGTTTGCAAGGAGGTCGAGGTCTGGGTTTTCTAGGCTGAACTTGGAGCTTTCCGCAGGCACCGCCCAAGCTTCAACATCAACTTTCCCTTGCCTTTAGAGCCCTTCAACACTCTGAACCCGTTCGTCATACCATTCTTCGTCGCATTCGACTGTTGGGTCTCAGCCTTGACATGGGACATGTTGACTGTTTCTGCAACGCTATTCGTCGTGTTTGTTCTGTGTCCTTCATGTACGTTGGTGTTGCACCGCTCAGATTGATCACTGGGTCA